CCCCCAAGCCAACAGGGAGACCCTTCCCCTGGAGCTAGTGCCCTGACTCCGGACTCCTGGCCGCCTCCACTGTGGCATTCCGATCATAGCAGCACGAGCTAGCCAAGCCCCAGTAGGCAAGCAAAAGTGAGCTCATTTAGCAAAGAAGGTCCATTTCTCATTTCATCCATGTTAAGATTTCTAAGACTCATCCATGTTCTTGTATTTAGCCAGTCCACCCATCTTCAGGGTTTGCGTGTATTTACTCATCGTGGGGTGCACCTCAATTTTAATGCTAGTGAGCATTTTGTGCATTTATGAGCTGGGTTACTGCTAACAAGCCTGAACACAATTCTTGGTGCATCCATGCAAGAGGTCCTCGTGCCTGGGCAGGAATCTGCCAGGCCACACATGACTGGACCGCTCAACCTCACAAGCTCCACTACAGTTTCCCACCATGGCTCTGCCTCCCCAACTCCTACCAGCACTGGATGCGTGTGCTTTTCCTAACACTTGACCTTTTCAGGCGGTGGCTTTAGGGGGCCAGCCCAAGAGCTCTCAAGTGGCAATCCCTACATGCTTAGGATTTACAAGCTGCATACTAGTTTTGTCTTTTAGAGACTCATCCTCTTAACCGTATGCCTCCAACCCCCGCACACAGCCTTGCCCTGCAGGTTCTGTTTTCTCAGGGACTGAATTACTCTGCAGTCATAGGAACGTGATCCCGCCCGGTGCCCCTCTCGCCACACTTGCTACTTCTGTCCTGTTACAAACAGGCATATTCTGACCTAAGGGGCCCAGCCGCTTGCTTCCTCTGCCTGGTCCAATCTAGCCCTTCACTTCCCCATTCCGCCATCGCTGCCTCTTGCTCATCACTGAGGTCTAATTTACATGCCAACTGTTCCCCCCAAGAGTCGGTTCAACTAGGAAAAGTGACCAGACTTAGTGACATCTGTCACATGGCCTGCTTCACTCGCTTCCCGACAGCACTGTCTCCACGAGGATGCGCGCGGCATAGGGCCTTCACCATGCACTGTTCAGTTCACTGATGTGTTCCCCGTGGCCAGAACAAAGCTGGCACAAGCTTGCTTGTTCGCTAAGTTGTCTACGCAAAGCTTCCATAAACTAAGGCCGTTTGTCCTAGAATGTTCACCACGGACATGGCTACACCATCTTTTCTTAAACAGATTTAGCCTGTGACTGATGGAACAGAAAACCCTCTACTTCGACCAAATAACTTAAGAGTACTGCCTGCCTTTTTGAATTCTACAGGCAGAGAACAGGCCAAAGGAGCGACATCTGTTGTCGTCCTAGAAAAGAAAGGAGCCCTCCCTGGGTCAGCTCAGGTCAGCAGAATTGCTGGGAGGAGCACAGGAGGTAGAGGGGCCTTAGCTCAAAGGATAGGGCCCCTGCCTGCTAGGCTTCAAAGAGTTTGATCTTCACCAACTTGGTTCAAAGGTATGGGACTGCCATGCCGTTTGGCCAAGAAAATGGAGTCTCTCGTTAAAGCTGAAGTGGCAGAGGTCTGCCATGCCCGAGGGGTCTGCTAGGTTAGAGGAGAGGGTCGCCATTCAGACGAATAAGGAGAATGGGGCCGCCCAGAACCAAAGGAGCCGAGTTGTCATCCGAGTGGGCCTGGAAGGCAGGGCTGAAGCCCGAGACCAAGGGGCCTCTACCCAGAATCCAGAAGCCACGGCCAACACCCAGAGTCTGGAAGGCGGGCCACTGCCCAGGCGGACAGCTCATGTCACTTGTTTGGCTGGATTCCATACTTGCTTAGTGTCCACTACCCTCTCTTCGCTCTAGGTCCTCATTTTCCACGGAGATGTCTACCTTATGCTACTCCCACCAGTGTACCTTGGAAGCAGACAACGTATTCTCAATTTCACAGGTTCGCAAATCAAGAGGACTTTTGCCCCAGGATGGAATATGCATAATGCCTCATCTACATTTTATTTAAATGATTCAAAAGACAAAGACTCTGGGCTTGTTCAGCAAGCAGGACTTGAAACACATACTAATAAAGATCAAAGGCTACAGCGTCCAGTATGGGTTACCCGTCAACACAGAGAGAAGAAATCCTCACACCTGAGCCAACAGACAACATGGTAACAGAGAGAGAAACAAGGACGCTAGCAAGGGCTTCATTGTCCTCGATCCGCTTTCAGCTCCTATCGAAGCAGCAATTAAAAAATCAAATAACACACTGCACTGGGCAAAATGCTGTGTTAACAAAGCAAGATGTCATTCTGAGGACTAAGGTTCACCTGATCCTGATTGTGTTGCTTTGAATTGGCTCATGCACGAGAAAGCTGGGTAACGAAGAAGGAAAACTGCAGAAGTGAAGCCTTTGAGCTGCGGTATCGATGACGATTGCCGCACTCAGAATACCAAACGTGGACAGCCAGAACAACAACAAGTACGGTCTTTGGTCACGGTATCAGGAGGGACCGGTTCCTGGAGAAAGACACCATGCGTGGTAATTAGAGGGTCAGTTAAAAAATAACAGGAAGACCCTCAAGGAGTTAAAAATGACGCAGCGGCTGCAAGAATGGGCACAACTGTAGAAAGATGAGGAGGATGGTGCAGTGTCTTGTAAGCTGGCAAACAACTGGATGGCACCGAACAACGCGCTTGTAGATATGACCCTACATTATGTTAATCAGGCCCAGGTGCTGTCGGTGAGGTCAGGTGTGTCTCATGCCTCTCTACTTAGGATATAAATGAGGCTAACGATGCAGAGTAGGAAGCAGAGACGGGGAAGACACGTGCCAAGCCACAGGAAGAGAAAGCCTTTCCGTGAGCGAGCATCCTGAATGTACACCTTTAACGTCATAAACTGTGAGAAAATACGTTTCTGTTGGTTAGAGCCACCCACTTGTGGTTGCTGCTGTCCCAAATGTGCTCGCTCTCTCAGTCATGCACTTCCCATAACCCTGAGAGGGACTCTGCCTACCCGTCGCACTGCCACAGACCAGATGTGGAGCTGGTAGAGTAAGTCATTCCACCGTGCTGTGACTAGTCAGTCACTTGACAAATATTTCTACTATTTTTGTGGAATACAACTAAGTATTCAGTGTTCATTTTAAAGGTGACTGGGAACATGAAGCCCTGGGCAATGAGTGAACCAGTCTAGTGGCCGCTGTGGTTCCTTGACCCCATGTCCCTACCTCCTCTGAACATGGAGGCTCTTCAGTGTGACGGACCTCACGAGCTGTTCCATGCCTGTCTCAGCTGATAAATCACCACTAAGTTTTGCTGTGTGGAAATTGTCACGTTAAAAAAACCCCAACTTCTCAGGAATCTTTCTTTTTAATGAAGACCAAACCAAAAACCAAGCTCACTGCCACTGAGTCAATGCTGACTCATCACGGCCCACCTGTGGGATCCTAAGACTGTCACTGCTGATGGGAGCGGAACAGCACTACAGACACAGTTCGTGTCCCCGCTGCCATCAGCGGTCTGCCACATATAAGACATGGGAGACAGTCAGCAGTATTTCTGAAGGACAAGGCCTGGTTGAATATTGCCTCGGAAGAGCAGTTCGACTCTTTATTGAGTTGGAGGCTGAAATTCACGGGGGCAAGAAAGATTGTGCCCACTCTCTTTGAATGCAACATGGCATCCTTTTGCAGGTATAATGTATAGCTACAGTATATTGTCTTGACAAAGAAACTAATTCTATCAAAGTCTTTCTTAGTTTCTTCACCCATGAAAACCATTCTATTGAATTTAGAGCGTTGGAAAAAATACACCAGTTGCTGATACCCAGAAATGGCAATAAAATGCTAACTTTGTTTAAAGAGCTAAAGACAGAATACATATGATGAAGCACACAAAAACAGTATTTATGAGATGATGCCAAATAAACACACAGGTTTCACCTAGGATAACTTTTGTTATAATGCTGGTATCTTTGAAAATATAATAATGCCATCTTGTGAGTTGGTATTATATTCTGGGGGAAAAAATATTGCTAATTGATTCCATAGGGAATTTGGGGCTCTCCATCTGACAGAAGTCCCAGACTAGCAATCTACATAAACACAGCCACCACCTTTCTCAAAGAAATTCCTAATCCTCATCCCCTCCTTGGCTGGGCGGGAGTGAGGTGGTGGTGGTGCGCAGCGTGGGGCACCTGCGAGTCTAGAGAGAGGTGTGAATCCCCCAGACCAGCGCTCTTAGCCGCCCTCTGGAAGGCACTCAGGTGACAAACATTGTAAGGAGCCCCGCATGCACTGGGTGCTGGTGCCTTAGCTAAACTAGGCATGAGCAGGAGGCAGGGCAAGAGTCTTGTCACTTTGCAAATAGGGAAAGAATAATTTTTCGATCTTGTGCTTCTTTTGGGGTGGGAGATTTGAGGTCCTGCCTCCCTATGTAGACAGAGAACGATATTCTCTCTGTGGACTGAAATTAATTATGAACAGTTAAGGCAGGGAAATTCGGTACCATTAGCCACTGTTTGTGGAGGAGAGGAGGAGAGGAGGTAGAGTTGGGTAGCAAGGGGCTGGGGTGATGGTGGGGAAACTGTAATTCCCAGGACAGAGGTAAGAAGTACAGGAGACTTTTCATTCTCCAGACTATATATACCTCACAACTTTTTTCCAGGGTGAAACCTGATTTTTGACAAATAATGACACTCCAAATGCAGCTCAGTGACAGAGAAGCCAACAGAACACACAAATGTCCACAAGTCATCTCCATGCAATGGCCACAGTGCTAGAGGCTAGCACGACACTTACTTTTCTCCGAGTGTCACCCGGAGGCTGCTCTGGAGTAGAGAAATTGGTTGTTGGCATTTTTTTTTTTTTTTGGCACAAGACACACCCACATTCAGAACAGCAATTATTGCAATGGCAATTACACTTATTAATAGAAACTGGTTAAGAGTCATGACAACACAAAAATGCCTGTGGTGCTACATATAAACACACACACACACACACAGAGACCCACAGTAAACATGCTGCAGGTAGATGAGGGTTTAAATGGCCATCTCAGTCGCTTCAAATATTGGCCCAGCTGCGGGGGCATTCATTCTCTAGCGGCCTTGAACTCCGCCACAAGAGTTCTAGCTCTGCATCCGTGTCTCAGGAGCACACGCTGTCACTTTCGATCCACTGGTGGCAGAGTCTTCTCCTTTGTGAATGAAGTGTTTCTTTTCAAGTTAATAGATGACCACACTCCAGGGAGTGCAGAGTAAAACTCAGGGTTAAAAAAAAAAAGTTTGATATGGGGGCCCCTTTGCTTGTGCAGTGAGATCTGGTCTATTCTGTGAACAGATGCAGCAGGGGGCTTGTTGACACTGCTGTTCTGGGTAACAATAAAGGCAGGTCAACTAAGACAACTGTTTACTCTTAGACACATTTAGAATCTCTGCTTCTGACTTTCTATTCTGTAACAGTAATCAAAATCATCAAAGAGGATGACTTAATTGTAAAGTACTGGGGGTGTCGAACATTTCCAAATACCTTAACTTACACTGTTTCAGATTTCTTCTCTAAAAACCCAAATTCGCTACCATTGAGTTGATTCCAACTCACAGTGACCCTGAAAGGCAGACTAGAACTGCCCCGTGTGGGCTTCTGAAGCAATAAAACTTTACGGGAGTAGAAAGCTCATCTTTCTTCCTTGGAGCAGCTGGTGGTTTTGAACTGCTGACTTGGGGTTAATAGCCCAACTCGTAATTCATTATGCCACCAGGGGTCCTTTCCAATCTCTGAAACGATACAGAATCATAGCTGTACATCCACCTACAAGGTAGCGTAGTGGAGTCAACTGGCCTCAAGATGATTTTATTTTTTTTGCCTTAGGCATCAATCTACCAATGGCAGGAGCAGCTGCTTGAATCCGCCAAAGAAGCCAGGTAAACAGATTTTTTTTAAAAAGATCTAACCACCAAGTCTTCCAAAGTACAAGGGAAATTCGAAGTTGGCAGAGACTCCATAACAAATTTCACCACGCAGTGAATGGTCTATAAAAAAGGTCTCCATCCTCCTTGAATCATTGATTAGGGCACTGTCAAAAGGCAGCCAGAGTGCCTATACCCAAGACATTGAAACCAAAAGCAATGAATTTAATCCACATACAAATTCATTGTAAACTAGGTTTCGGATCGATGCCCGTTTCATGCCCCTTTATGATGGGAGAGAATGAGAACAGGCCCACAAGGCAGGTGTTTTGTTCCGGAAGCCCTTCCTTGAGCATGCAGCTAACGTTTACTCTTTAAAACTGGAACAAAAATAATTCATTCCTTTTTAAAACTCATTTGTCTAAAAGACAGCGCTAAGCTCACCTATAATACAACTCCAGAAGTTCTTTGAGTAGCACTGAGGAAAACAAACTAATCAATACACTCTAGTCACAAGGTTAAGCTTTCCATGATTCATGCCTATTTGTGGGTAGTTTGCTGTTGACTTTTTCTGTGTAGTTGACTTGTGCCTTAGGAGACCCCCAGAGGGGAACTGCTCCACAGGGTTTCTGGATCGTAATTACTATGTAACAGGCTGGCAGGTCTTTTTCTTCAGTAGTGCCACTGGGTGAGCTTAAAACATCAACCTTCTAGTTACCAACTGAGGGCAAACCTTTTGCTCCCCCACTCCTACCCCAGCACCAAGGTCCTTCATTTGGGGATTATTTGGGATCAGTTAACTCACATACACAATCTGGCAACCTATTCCTTTAGCTATAGGATCAGAAAAACAGATGCTACTATGATTAGCTTTGTAGAAAACTAAGTTCTTTGCCTAAAATTAAGATTACAGTGTCCTCCAAAGGGCTCTCTTTAAAAATGGCCAAAGGGAAGTGTTAAGCCTGTTAATCTTCAAAGTTCACAACCTACTTACCTTCTAAATGTAACTTTTAAATATAACAAGATTTTAATATTTGTGCCCTGACAGATATCTCAGTTTTCTTGAATCTCATAATGTCTGTCATGAAAAGATCATTCAATTAGATTGATCAGGACAAAAAAATTTTTTTCAGCATTGTTCTGACTTTAAAATCTTTAAGACTAGAAACTTTTAAGCCCTTGTTTTTATTTTCCTCTTGGGAATACGATTTCAACTGGACAAATACTTAGAAGAAAACATGCCCCTTTAAGTACAGACTGGATTTCCCACAATCAGGACATGCCCAGGACCACTGCCAGGTTACTACTGAGATGTCCTCCACGCTCTGGAATCTAAGGAACCAAGAAAGAGCCACACCAGTCAAACAACCATAGCTTACACTGGTCCTCTGAATGGCTAATTTCTACAAACTGACCGAAGTCAAAACAGAGGAGTCCTATTTATCCTGAAATGAAAGTTAAATGCTGTATCGTACTTACCTCCAAAGAGTTCCAAATCTCTTAAGCCCTCAACAATGAACTTTTCCGAGACCCACCGCTAAAGAGGAAAACCCCAAAGAAAATTAGTATTTCTCCCACGTTAGAGAAAATGAGATATCATCCAATAGACAGACAAATAAACCGACAATGACAAAACCAGATCACACAGTTAGTTAAGTGTCTATGGGGGAATCTTGAAAAGATTTCTAATGCTGTTCTCTACTCTTCCTTGCCTAATTTAAATCTTAAATCTCACAGATGAAAAAGAAGCAGAACTGGGTCTAAAAGCAAAGAATGTGTTTGTCCTTCCTATACAAAACAGAGGGTCTGTGCACAGGGTCAAAGCCGACTTCACAGCACCTGACAACACCTTCATCTGTAGCACTGCCTTTTGGTTCCACCTTGCTCGTTCTATGGCCCACCATTACAGATGCTTTGGATCATCCATGCCAACTTGAAAAATATTAGTAGTATTCACAATACAGAAGAGAGTGATGAATGTGAGTTTTTCACAAACTTCTAATCGTTTGTAGCAGGAGACCCAGCAAACTGCATACTCTGTCATCCATGAGACTTTCCAAAGATGCCACCCCTTACATTTTTACCAAGTGTGTTTGGTAAACAAGCATGGCTGACCTACGGTTCACTGTACTGGCCTGTTTCAAATGAGTACTAGATTTCCATCCTACTGCTCAGTGGTCTGGTTTTACCCATATCAGACTGGGTTGAAACAGAAAAGCAGCTCATCTTTAGAAGCAATGGAATCAAGATTGAATTTCACTAAAGACTAGTGTTCAAGTTTGGCTTGGCTTCATTCTTTCCACTAGGCAGAGTTCAGGTTAAAGAAAGCCTCGGGTTTCCCTATTAATTAACAGTGAGTTTATTCTATATAAATTCTTCTTATATATATAAACATAAGAAAAAAAGATTAAGCAACATTAAAAAATAAGTTGCATAATACACAAAGCTTTATTTTAACGTTATTCTGTTGTTTTCTATATCAATTTTTCCCCAAATTAGAAAAAAAGTAACACTTTAGATTAAAATTACAATTTAAAACTTCAAATGCAATGTGTAGCAATATATAATTTACACTTTAATATTTAAAATGATACTTAAAATGTCTTATAGCACTTATATACTGTTCAAAATGTTAGTCATTTATTACTACATTTTTAAAAAGTTGGTCTTTTATGAAATTATAGGTGCCTATAAAGGAGTTAACGTCGGTATTTGTTCTTGAGGTCATTTTAAAAAGCTGAGACATTTTGAGGCATAACAAAAATTTTTTTTTTCTTTTTAAACATTTTATTAGGGGCTCATACAACTGTTATCCCAATCCATACACACATCAATTGTGTAAAGCGCATTTGTACATCGT